AAAGAGTAAGATTTAGTTGGGGGTTTGTTGGGGTTTTTTTTTTGTTTTCTTAGGGAAAAATTTCTCATTGTTTGTTGACTCTTATGTCTAAGCAGCTGTAAAACCACAGGGGTTCTCAAAATGTGTTCCTTGATACTACCTGTGGAATAATTTATTTTTTTAATGAGAAACTACCTCCAAAAGCAGATAGGAAACATAACTAGGGGGTCATGGGAATAAATAAATTTTCTCTGATTTTGTTCTGATCTGATTTGATCACAGTGGTGGCTCTCTCAAAATGCTGCTTTCTATAAGCTGAGGTAACCATGCAGATGTAATACTCCAAAGGCACATTTATCTATCATTACCATAACAAAGTGGTTTTGGTTTCAAGGTACCAATTTACAACTTTTCTATTAGCTTTAAAAATTCTGTCTCTCTCCCTTAAAAATAGTCATTTATGAACTATTCACCGTTAAGGGCATACCTATTCACTGTGGCCTTACCTATGACAGCTTATCAATGAAGGAATGGGAACAATCTCAAAGCCCATGGCACTGTCTGGAAGAGGATGGTGTCAGATTGAAAGGCCCCAGGTGTGTCTCAGCATACTGCCTATTTCTCAGAAAAAACAGCATTTTATTCTGAGAGCCTGCACACCAGAACCATCGTATCTCTGTTTCCATCAGTCCTCCACAGTAGAGAAAGTAAGAGTAGTGGCAGCACAGAGGCTCCTGCAGTTGTCAGGACTGCCAGATGACTTCACTGTTAGTGCAGAAGTGACAATGCTTCTGCCATACCTTCACCATGGCAGCGTTTGGCATCCTTGCTTATATTGCTCCTAATCCAATTAGTACTCATTGCAGCTTCCAGGGATGGCAGGGGCTCTGGCTGCCCCTGTGGGCTGGCAGGACCGCGTGGAGTGGCAGCATCCACCACCTAAAACTTTCTTTCCTCTCTCCCTGTAGTGTTCCTGGCATCTATCAATTGAAGGGCTTTTTTTCTGGTTTTCCTACATGGATGAAAATGGGTGGAGGCCTCTACCTGACACAACACGGAATGAGTGCATCCCATCAGTTAAATCACCGCTGCGCCACAGGGCAGGGTAAGTGCTCCAAAGTGTGCTGCACATCCTTCCACGCACCTCCGAACACCTCAGCTCCTCCTGCAGGGAGTTCCGCCGGCAGCTCCCTGGATACAACCCCATTACACTGTGCAACCGACCGCCTCCCTGCCTAGCTGCTCATCCAGCGAGGTGCAGATCTGGCCCATTTCGGACAGTGCTGCACCCAGCTGAATAGTCACGGGTGATGGCAGAAACAGCCCCGCGCCTTACAGACGGCACGCAGAACGAGGCGGTAACGGGGACGCGGCGGAAGGGGCGGGGCCGGGACGCGGGGGGACCCGTCGCTGCCCCGGAAGGCTCCGCGGAGCAGGTCTGGAAATGGTGCTGCTGAGCGTCCCGCTCTGGGTCCGCAGGCGCCTCTCCGACCGCTTCTGGAGGGTGCAGGAGGTGCTGAAGTATGCGCGGGTGAGTGTCCCCGCCCTGCCCGGGGCGCGGGCGGCAGCTCGTCCTCCCCGGGTCTGGGCACGGGCGGCCTGCCGTGAGGGTGTCCGGGTGTCCGCATGCCCTTCCCCAGCAGAGGGAAGTCAGGCGGCGAGCAGCACAGTGGCCCTGGAAAGGTGGAGGGCCCGTGAACTCTGTAGTGGAGGAAACACGAGCACTACAGGCAGAGCAGTCTGTAAATCCAGCCCTCTGTCCAGGTGTCGGTTGTGGGAAGATGATTTTTGTGGTTGCTTTCTCCCTGGAACCACAGCCTACAGTGTGTCTGATCTGGGCTCCCTAAGGGACTGAAATTTTTCAGCCTGCTCTAAAGTTTCAGCCTCACGTTTCCCATGCCTTAACACAAGGAAAGAATATTTGCATCATATGCCAGCTGAGGGCTTAGCTGATGTTCGTGAAGTATTTTGTGACCCTTGTTATGAAGAGTTGTGAAATGGAAGTGAACATATATTAATATTAGTGAAGCGTTTGACAGCCTTAAAGGTAGCTGAACAAAACTGTCTGGTTTTTCTTTCAGCATTTTCGTGGGAGGAAGAACCGCTGCTACAAGCTGGCTGTGCGGAGTGTTCGGAGAGCTTTTGTGAAGTCTACAAGAGCCAGAAGAGAGAAGAAGAGATTCCTAAGAGCGGTAAAGAGCAAAACGTTACATGTTCACATTAAAAAGGGGGAAGAACAGGACTGAAATGTCCTTCCTGGGAGGGTTCTTTCAAAATGTTTTTCCAGTGGGTGAAAAATAGTATTTTAGGGTAAGTGCAGTCCCTCCATGGCCTGAAATAGCTCACATTCTGAACTTCATACATCTATATGTTGTACTGAGAAGACTGTAGGCCTGAAAATGTTGTATTTACTAAGTCAGAGCAGATCAGCATGACAAAAACGTTTATATGTGAAGTATTTCATCATCTAAGATGCTTATTTTTATGTTTTCTAGCTCTGGATCACTAGAATTGAAGCAGCTTCTCTTGAACATGGTTTGAAATACTCGTCTTTCATAAGCTATCTGTTTAAGGTAAGGATGGTGCTTTATGAGTCATTACTTTGAAACAAGAAATTGAAGAAAGTCTCTGAAAAAGGTCTTCTAAAGTGGCAAGTAAATTAATTTTGTAAAACTGGAATTTTTCAAGTAAGTGTAGTCTGAAAAACACATCAAAGAGTTGCTGGTTACTGTTTGATTGAAGCTGTGTCGAGCTGCTTGTTCTGTCCCCAAAACTTTCACTGCACACCTTAAGAATGCAACCTGTGAAATGCTTTTACATGTGTCACTCCTGTGGGCATTAAGTGACAGCTGCTTTTCCTGCTACTTCAAAAAAAAAAGTAAAAAATACAAAGCTTGGGTTAACAAGAACAGCCCTAAGAGGTCTCTGCTTGTTACCAGCCTGTGTTTCAGTGAGTGTGGACCGTGCAGTCGGTGCTGTTGTCTCTTGTTCTTAAACACACTGGGGAATTGGTTTTAATTTCCTGATACTGCCACTGTAACATTAAAACATGTTTTTCTTGGCCTATAAAAAGGTAGCATTTCTGCTTCTTGAGGTAGAACTATGTATAAATTTATAACCTGTAACACGTGGCCTTCCACAAAATAAGAGATTTTTCTTCAGCTCTTGGTTTCTACCAGAAAGACTTAGAGAAAGTCAGTGAACAAATTTTATGCAATGTGTTAATGGGACACCCATGGCTGACTAGTCACATCTGACAGTGCTCTAGCAGATCCAAAATTGTAGAAAATATTGTAGTTTGCCTTAAGACCTTGGGGAATGGCGTTGTTGGTTAAATACTGTGATTTTTAGGAACAACTTTTCTTGCGTTTAGTCCCAGGTGGAGCTGAACCGGAAGGTGATCGCCGATTTGGCTATTTACGAGCCAAAGACATTCAAGTCCCTGGCTGCCTTAGCCCAGAGGAGGAGACAGGAAGGCTTCCTGGCTGCCCTGGGAGATGGGAAGGAACCCGAGGGGATCTTCTCACGCATCGTGCACCACTACTGATGCTAACGGAGCCTGCGGATGCGCACCATAAACGGGGACTCGTGCTGCAAAAGGAACGTGCTCTTGGGCTGCAGCCGGGAGCAGAATCCTCTGCGGGTGGTCCTGAGAGGACGGGCTGGGGCCGGGCACGGAGCTTTTCCCGTTTTATTGTCACTGAAGGGTGTTTGCTGAGGAGCCGCGCAGCGGTGAGCCAGGCCCGCCGCGGTGCCGGCGCTGACAATGCGCCCGGCGCAGGCGCTCCCCCTGCTGCGGAGCCCTCTAATAAAGACTTTTGTTCGTTCGCTTGCGGGTCTGTTCGGCAGCTGCTGCTGGAGGAACGCGGCAGTG